TCTAGCATGAGAAGCTTTAGACAAGCGAGTCATTTGGTGACGTACAGGCTACAAGCGGGAGTTTTCGGCCGATTTCGGCCAGGAAAAAGAAGGACAAAAAGGACAAGAAGTCCAAAAAGAACAAAAAGGCAGAGAAGAAGGGAAAGAAAAAGAAGGCGCGCATCAGCAGTGATCCTAGGGTGACGATATCTTTGGTGTTCCTTCCAATTGACAACCGGGATGAAGCAGCGGCTGAAAGGAGAAGAAAAAGAAAAAGAAAAAGGGAGACGATCTCACAGAAGCCATGCGCGGATCTGTCTCCAATCAGTTTGGCAAGTATGGCGCTGCCGGCGCTGATTTTGGCACTGCACGGGGAGAGCTGACGCAAGTTCTTTGTTCAGTGAACTGGGCACCAACTCAAGAGCACCCCTTAGAACATGTGCAATGATAATCAATTATCCAAATATGGGTTTTATTCATATTCATGCCCATCTTGGAAGATGGATGGAGATGGTTATACCCACATCAAAACGGAATCATGATGGTTCATATGTATATAAATAATTATAAATATATATATATAATTATAGAATATTATATATATGTGTGTGTGTGCTTATTCGCCGTTGTGTCATTGTTTTTGGTTCATTTCCAACTTGGATTTCTGATCCACATCGACTTGTACATCATAGGGATACAACGTATTGAGGATATTGTATTAAGGATACTTCAAACTTCTTCTCGACATGATTTATAGTAATTTATATCCAAGATTTAGTGCCTCCCCCGCTCAAAAAACGACACAGCGGAGCCAGGCATCATCAAGGCTGAAGACTTCTTCTCCAAGAAGCCCGAATTTATGCTCTGGGCACAGGAGGTCCGAAAGGTCAATACCGACATCCTCGGACAGCCCCGCAACGGCAACGAAAATGCGTCAAGACTTTAGACATTTCAACGACCCTGTGGAAGTGGCTTATGTTAGTTATGTCCAATTTCATCATGTATCATCCTGTTTTTTCCGGATGAGTTGGGTCCGGAGTTGAGATCTTAACAGCACCATTTACCGTTATAGATCTTCACTCAATAATAATTACCCTCTGGTAATTTAACATAGCTGTGGAAAATCACTATTTTTAATGGGTAAATCCACTATAGATGGCCATTTTCAATAGCTATGTTAGTTTACCAGAGGGTAATTAGATTAGATCAGATGTAATTGCCCCGGCGTTCGGGTGCACTGAGGATGCAGCTGAAAGATTTGTTCAAGGAATACGTGGAGGACTACAACACGGCCACCATGCCTTCGAAAAAGTGCCTTGTCCGAAAAACCTGGCCTTCAACAAAAAGATGCCACTTTCTAGATATGGGGATGGGTCAAAACCTATTAATGCCATATTGGGGAGAATAAACATCCATTATATAATCAGCTATTGTAGGGTACCTAGGGTGCCAGGGTTTTAACTCGCCAGGAGGCCAGTTTTGGAGCGTGATTTATTGCATCCCGTGCATATGTTGGCAGGTACTACAATATCCAGGTATTCGAGCAGCAAATGTCCAACAAGCGGCAACTTGGTGAGATCAACTTCTCTTTGTGTCGATTTTCTGCTGACAACTGGTTGAACCGTGTTAAATTTCAATTGTCATTGGTTAAATCTATCGTCTATCGCTTTGTTGATGAAAATCGCTTCAAGCCAGCATTTTGCTGGTGAAAGGCCAGCATTTTGCTGATGAAAGGTCACTGGTGTTATATATATATAATATATATATATATATGTACCTCCCCATAATTGAAAACTGACATGATTTAAAGTCCCGGTGTTAGATGCATAGCTCCCATCCAACAGGGCGAAACGCCTTCAAATCAGGCGGAAGAAGAAAGCAGAAACGGTCATTGATACTGCCGCCTGACTAAAATATGTATACGAAAAGTGGTGGGCTGCTGGGCTCATGAACCAGGTTACCCAGATGTATAGATGTGTGGCCAGGATTCATATACTTGTTTGGTTTCTTTGGGGGGGGGGGTTCTTCCAATTGGGGATCCCCAAGAAACAATAAAGGCTTCACCAAGTTATCATGGAAAACTGGATAATTTAGGGGTACTCCCCATTTTAGGAAAACTCCATAGAATGATCCGAAAATGATACCAAAACTCCATACATGGATGATTTACAATGATGTATCATGTATACACCTTGTGACGGTCAGGGCATTCCTTGCATTGCAAACCCAGGCACTTCAAAGCTCTTTGGCGTCCTTCGATGACGAAAAGGCCAGCAGATGCCAAAGGGGAAAATCCCACATTTATCCCATTCTTGGCTTCTTAAGCATTTTATACATGTTTATTTGTTTATGCCACAAACCAAAACAAGAAAAAGCAACAAATAAACACAGAAGGCGGCAGAGATATGTTTGGATAGAAAGGGCACGAATGAAGAATGAATAGTGAACACATGTTCTCCAACACACTATACATATGTCTCTATAATAAATCACAATAATACATATCCAAGATGTATACTATGTATGTCCATGTGTAACACATCATATTTAGTATGCATCTCTATTTATATATATATATATACACATATATATATACATGTCTAATACATCATCTTACATTTATACACCAGTACACTATAGCCATGGCCACAGCCAGCCTCCCATCCCAGGCCCGACGAGACGAAGTCCTTGCCTTACGTGCCAAGAAACAGGAGAATCAGATTTCCTCGGAGGCCGCGGCCGGTGGTCCCTGATTTGGTCGAGAGACCTAGGTATACAGTGATGGCTTGGGGAAGGTTAAAATTTGGGCTACAGTATACATCTGGAAGTATTAATGATGGCAATTATGGCATGATTTTTTTCAAAGTGAAGTATGTTCCCAAAAATGAGCATATACCCTCTGGCAAAAAACGTAGCAATAAAGAGTCCCTGAACTAAATGAAGGTCTCTTGGGTAAATGAATGTAACTAAATGGGGGGCTTTCAAGTGCATGCATACATACATACATACATACATACTTACATACTTACATACTTACATACTTACATACTTACATACTTACATACTTACATACTTACATACTTACATACTTACATACTTACTTACATTCTTACATACTTACATACTTACATACATACATACTTACATACTTACATACTTACATACTTACATACTTACATACCTACTTACATACATACATACATACATACATTACATCATGACATGACATTACATTACATTACAGACATACATACATACATACATACAGACATACATACCTACATACATACATAAATAGTGGGAATTGTATGTCCAGATACATATAGTTTTTGTTACTTCTTGATATATTGGACAATTGGACACGCGTGGCTGGGGAAATTCGGTCACAATAACCCAACCTTTGCAGAGACCTTTGTGGAATGTATTGGATCTATGGGTTGGGGCCATCGGGGGTATATAAAACCAATATGGACATATTGAACAATACCTGTGGAACCATGGGGGATGGCCATCCAGCTCTGAACTAAACAGAAGGGTACTAGGGGTTTCACCTTTTGACCCATAGACTTTTAGACATATAAACTTTATATAAACCTCTTCTCCACTAATCTGTTCAGGTCCTGTTGATGAGATTCACAACTGAAACCCCAGGGTTTTCCAGGTGCAGCGCCTGCGAATGAACAAAGAGAAGGCGGAGGACATGAAGCACCAGGCAGCTGATTCGGATGAAATTCCACGGGATTCAACCAGTTCATGGGATTCAAGTTAAGTTTGAAGCACTTTGAATTGGTGTTGAAATACCAATGATAGCCTACTTTTAAGCAGTAAAAGGATATAAAACTGATAGATGATGGTTGCTTGATGCTTCTCGGGGGGTTATACCAAGGTCAACAAGGTCATTGGGGTAGTTCTCAGAATGCCCCTAGTATCCCCTATAGTCAATAAAGTAGCCATGAGGTCATCAAAACATCAGTTTGGGCAAATTATAACGACATCACGTCGTGACCGAACTGGAATCATGGGTGATAAGAGGAATCATCCCCAAATAGCCTTAATTCAGGTAATCGGTCCTTTCTTGCGGGGAGAGGGCTGGCCAATGAGAAGATCAGCGGCCTTAATTTAAGTTTGTGAAATATTATAATGTATCCATACTAATTGCCTTTCAAATAGTAGGGTTGGGTAAGTGGGATGTGGCTCATTCTTGGGTTTGCCACATTGGATGGGATAAAAGACGCGGATTTTGGATCATCATGGAGACCCCTTCTTTGAGCACCGTTTATTTCTTGGGCGGGCGGCGGGAGGTGAGTTGAGAGCACTACCGACTTCCATAATGGTCTTGGGGAATTGACAGGAAACCCTGTGCATTTATGGTTCACACATGCAAACCACGCAAAAATCCATCGTTTCACTGCGAAAGAATTCCATGTCAGAAGGCTACAAAACCCCAGGGGGGTTCTGGTGGATTTTGGCCTGGGCCCCAGGCCATGCTGAAGACCCAACAATCGATGCTCAGTAAGGCTGGCCAGGTGGAGGCTGGATGGGTAGTGGAGTCTACAAGGTGAACTGTGGGCAAAATGAAGCATGAATAAGCAACAAACATTGGGAGATCGTGAGCAAATGAGGATATTAACTGGGAAACCCACTGTCATAAAATTCATATGTTTCCTGAAGTGTGGGCATATAAGACCCAGCCAACTATAGGTTGTTTCTCTTCTGACTGGATCATTCGGCCTGCGGAGAGCTGGCCGATCAATTGAACAGCCATGCGCGATAGTGCCGCTTTAATTTGTTTCACAAGGGCCTCGTCAGAGACCAAAGTTGGGTTGATTTCTGACTCGGGTATAACTTGCTGAATCTAATCCAAGAGTAAGATGAGGTGACTACATCTTTTCATTGATTTGTGCTTGGCTTGAGAAATGTGGCTGCGGGTCGAACCCCAGCATTCTGGTGAACACCAAAATTAAAACAGGTGGTAGTGGTAGATGGATATTCATCCCGATTCATCCGCATGTGTGGTAAAATCTTAGAAAATGCTGTAGGTTTTGACCCATTCCCACATCTTGTTCCCTGCAAAGCCCCCATGCCGGTTCCGGATTCTGGCCTCAAAGGCTGCTGGGAAGATTAGCGAAAGGCTCAACCCAAACAAGGCCGCTTTTTTCGACATCCCCAGAAATGCTTTGGCTGCTGGTTCAGGCTGGTTCTTTGCCAAATATGGAATGATGATCCCACGTTATCCCATGGATGTTTTTCTTTTGGGATTCTGACAGCTCCAGAAACCACCGGCTTCCTGCGGAATTAGGATCAGGATGAGTTGCCATCAGCTGAAAAGACATCAAATCATCACATCCCATGCAAAAAAGTGAACAAAATCTGACACACCCATAAACAAATGCGAACCTTTATTGATCATCTGATAGGCCCAGCATGGACTCTTATAGCATTCTATACCCAATTTTGCCGCACGCGTCAATTTCTCTGAAAAACCACAATAAACCACAACAAAATTGGGTTGTTAGCCATGATGTCTGATGAATTATTTGTTCCTATGTGTTTTGCTTGGTTTGTAGCCTGATCTGTGGGCCCAGCTTCACTAGCGCTCCTAGGTGGACTATGCGGAACGTCGGGCCAAGAAGTTGGATGGTCCGGTGGGCTTCCAACCTGAAGGCCGATGTGTATGAAATCAAATAAACTCTCGGGAATTCACATCAGTTCATTGTAGGATATTGTAGGTGTTGACATCACGATAGCTATAGGTATACATAAGAGATGTATTGAAATCACACATATATAAAGATATGATATTGTTGTGGGTATTCACATCTTCCTGTCGCTAGTCAGACCACAGGTCGTGTTTGCATATGTCAGAACCCCTACACATGGAACTCCCATTTCAAAGAGGACGATCCATAACTGCCATAAACGTCCATTTTTGTCTATGGCCAGGTTAGATTTCTGAAGGTAGCTGAAGCGCTGGTGCAGAATGGTGCAGAATTGCCGTTGGAGCAGCACAGCGCGAGGAGTATGTGAAAAGTTGCCATTGTATACTGAGGAAGTTCCTTGAAGCCACATCAGATCCGTTTTACGGTGATTATATGCCTAAGAAAAGGATGGAAAGGCCTGCATCTTGCATATCAGATAGGGAAAGTTGCAGAACGGGGCTAATTATTTTAGGGTTTTTTTTTGATCAGGTTTAGTTTTTTTTTTTGGATGCCTGCTTCTCTGCTTTTCCTGCTTTTCCTGCTTCTCTGCTTTTCTGCTTTTCCTGTTTCTTTGCTTCTCTACTTTCCCTGCTTCTCTGCTTTTCCTGCTTTTCCTGGCTTCTCTGCTTTTCTGCTTTTCCTGTTTCTTTGCTTCTCTACTTTCCCTGCTTCTCTGCTTTTCCTGCTTTTCCTGTTTCTTTGCTTCTCTGCTTTTCCTGTTTCTTTGCTTCTCTACTTTCCCTGCTTCTCTGCTTTTCTGCTTTTCCTGTTATTTGATTCTTGCTTTTCCTGTTTCTTTGCTTCTCACTTTTCAATGATTTCTGCTTTGAGTTTCTGTTTCTTGATTCTATGATCAGGATTTGGATTTTTGATTTTCCTGTTTTCTTTGATTATCTGCTTTCCTGAGTTCATTTGCTTTCTCTACTTGCAGATTATATGCTTTTTGCTTTCCCCTGTTATTTGATTCTCGCTTTTACTGGTTATTTGAAAGTCTATACTTTCCCTGCTTCTATGCTTTTCTGCTTTTCCTGTTTCTTTGCTTATTGCTTTTCTTGTCATGTTTATTCTGATTCTCTAATTTACCTGTTTCTTGCTTTTTGCTTTTCATGTTTCTTTGCTTCTCCTGATTTCTGTTATTTGCTTACTCTAATTTCCCTGCTTCTATGCTTTTTGCTTTTCCTGTTTCTTTGCTTCTCTGCTTTCCCTGCTTCTCTGCTTTTCTGCTTTTCCTGTTTCTTTGCTTCTCTGCTTTTCCTGTTTCTTTGCTTCTCTACTTTCCCTGCTTCTCTGCTTTTCTGCTTTTCCTGTTTCTTTGCTTCTCTGCTTTTCCTGTTTCTTTGCTTCTCTACTTTCCCTGCTTCTCTGCTTTTCTGCTTTTCCTGTTTCTTTGCTTCTCTGCTATCCCTGCTTCTCTGCTTTTCTGCTTTTCCTGTTTCTTTGCTTCTCTGCTTTTCCTGTTTCTTTGCTTCTCTACTTTCCCTGCTTCTCTGCTTTTCTGCTTTTCCTGTTTCTTTGCTTCTCTGCTTTCCCTGCTTCTCTGCTTTTCTGCTTTTCCTGTTTCTTTGCTTCTCTGCTTTTCCTGTTTCTTTGCTTCTCTGCTTTCCCTGCTTCTCTGCTTTTCTGCTTTACGTTCTTTGCTTCTCGTTTTCCCGCTTCTATGATGTCTGCGTTTCTGTTTCTTTTGCTTCTCTGCTTTTACTGTTTATTTGCTTCTCTACTTTCGTGCTTCTATGCTTTTTGCTTTTCCTGTTTTTTGCTTCTCTGCTTCCTTGCTTCTCTGCTTTTCTGATTTACTGTTTCTTTGATTCTCTGCTTTTCCTGGTTCTTTGCTTCTATACTTTCCTGCTTCTCTGCTTCTTGCTTTTCCTGTTTCTTTCTCGATTCTCTGCTATCCCTTGCTTCTTGATTTAGCTTTCGTTTCTTTGATTACTCTGCTTTTCCTGTTTCTTTGCTTCTCTGCTTTTCCTGTTTCTTTGCTTCTCTACTTTCCCTGCTTCTCTGCTTTTCTGCTTTTCCTGTTTCTTTGCTTCTCTGCTTTCCCTGCTTCTCTGCTTTTCTGCTTTTCCTGTTTCTTTGCTTCTCTGCTTTTCCTGCTTTTCATGCTTCTCTGCTTTTTTGCTTTTCCTGCTTCTTTGCTTTTCTGCTTCTCTGCTTTTCTGCTGTTTTGCTTTCCTGCTTTCCTGTTTCTTTGCTTCTCTGCTTTTTTGCTTTTCTTCTTTTTTGCTTTGCCCGCTTCTCCGCTTTTCTGCTTCTCTGCTTTTCTTGCTTTTCTCTTTTCTGCTTCTCTGCTCTTCTCTGATGCATTTTGCACAGTATTTACATCCCTGAGTATCACATTACTTATCTTCTCTTGAAAACTGACAGCGTAACATGTGAGAAGAGGTGCTTGCATTCTGCTTTGGGGGGAGGCGCTGCGCCCTCCCCCCAATCCCTCCCGCTTTTAATTATTAAAACCCAAGCTCGTAAATACATTAGTTGGGGTTGGTATGATGATGTGGTGAACATGATGGTGTGAATGCTAACCATGACCATCGTCCGCAGCTTGCATTTTTGCAAACCAACCTTCTCTTGAAAGCTGACAGCATTACATGTGAGAAGAGATGCTTGCATTCTGCTTTCGGGGGAGGCGCTGCGCCCTCCCCCCAATTCCCCCCCCCCGCTTTTAATTATTAAAACCCAAGCTCGTAAATACATTAGTTGGGGTTGGCATGATGATGTGGTGAACATGATGGTGTGAATTCCAACCATGACCATCGTCCGCAACTTGCATTTTTGCGAACTAACCTTCTCTTGACAACTTGGGGGTGACATGATGATGTAGTGAAGGCGGCCATGCCAAAATGTATCAAATCCCTTGGGTTTGGCATGATGATGTGGTGAACATGCTCACATGTAGAAAAACCCATGCAAAATGGAAGGTGAACATGCCAACATGTAGCAAATCCCAAACAAAATGGAAGGTGAACACGCCCACATGTAGCAAATCCCATGCAAAATGGAAGGTGAACATGCCAAAATGCAGCCAATCCCATGCCATGCAAAATGGAAGGTGAACACCCCCACATGTAGCAAATCCCATGCAAAATGGAAGGTGAACATGCCCAAATGTGGCCAATCCCATGCAAAATGGAAGGGGAACACGCCCACATGTAGCAAATCCCGCGCAAAAAAAAAGGTGAACATGCCCAAATGTGGCAAATACCATACAAAATGGAAGGTGAACACGCCCACATGCAAGACTCATGCAAAATGGAAGGTGAACATGCCCAAATGTGGCAAATACCATGCAAAATGACAAATTCAAGGTCCAAACCGTTGCAAACACTAGGCAAATTGTACCAGCCAAGAAATCCAAAAAAAAATCCCAAACCTGCTTTAAAAAAAACTAAAACTATTTCACGCCCAAATCTAACCGCAACTAACAGAAAGGGCCAGACAAGTTGCATGGGTCGATGATTTATGCCGCGGCCATTTGCAGCACATTGGCCATCCGGTTCCAGTGGGGTCCTGATTTGCCAGGAAACTCTTGAAGGCTAGGCGTTTTCTGGTTGGTGGTTTGACAGATATGCACATACTGTTTTGGAGGATTTGGTTTGACAGATTTGCTAATATTTTTCTAGATGATCTAGAGATATCTAGAGGATTGAAAAACCCCAAAGGGTTTTGCATGTATAATCGGGCTAGGAAACGGGGAAAAACGCGGGGATGATGGTTGCAACATGGATGTAAGGTGTAAGTCGAAGAATGTCAAAATCTTAGAGCAGGCAAACAAAAAGTATGGTCATTTCTGCAATCATCATAGCCTCACAACTGGCCGGCGTGGTTATGTTTCCTCTCATTTTGGTGTAATTGTTACACATACATTATACATTACATTACACTACACTACATTACATTACATTACATATTACACATTACACATTACACATCGCACATTGCACAATGCACATTACACATTACACGTTACACATTACACATTACACATTACACATTTCACATTTCACATTACACATTACATTACACATTAAACATTAAACATTACACATTGCACATTACATTGCACATTGCACTACACATTAAACATTACACATTGCACATTACATTACACATTACATTACACATTACATTACACATTACATTACACATTACATTACACATTACATTACACATTACATTACACATTACATTGCATTACCATACTTACAGACAGACATACATACATGCATATACTTATATAATCTTATATATACATATACATACATATGTATATGCACATATGCCTGTGTATCTAGCCACTGACATGTTATTTACACCATTCCCCATCAAGCCGCTGAATTCTCTGGTGCTGCAGGTCCCATGACAGACATGGAGCAAGAAGAGGAACTGTTGGACGCTCAGGCCTGGAACTTCTGCTCTAGCAATCATCAGAAATCACCCAAACTTAGATGTTTTCATGCCCAAAGGATTGGCATTGGAGGACGCCTGTGCCACATTGCTGCGTTGCATCAGGAGATCAAAGAAAGCATCAGCGATGTGAGCACCGACGCCAGCCTGTCCCGACACTCTCTGTCAGAGGCGGAACCCGGGCAAGGGGCGTCATCCGCTTAGACACCCGGGGAAACCCCAAAAAGATGCGGTATTTTGCGGTCTGGCAGATGATGTTCTAACTCGGAACTTGTCATTTTGCATGCTGCAGATTAGGGGTGAGATGTCCAATTGGTATTTTCACCTATCATTGTTTTCATTTATCATCATTAATTACTACTTACTACTAATTATTGCTATTCATTGTCCTAATCAGAATCATCACTATCATCATGTATTTTCCAGCCTTGCTAGGGAAAAATGATGTGCACAGTTTCTAGCTTAGGTTCACCGCACACAAAGATGTCGCGGTATGAAAATAAGTAGGCAAACTTCAAACGCATTAGAATTACTATGAATCGCTTATTGTGTGTAATTAGTTAAACGAACAGATGATTTACAATGGGGTGTGTAATTAGGTAAACGAACAGATGATTTACAATGGGGTTACTTATTGAATTGCTTATAATTACTTATAGTAATTCATTGATTGGTAAGTATTCTGGGGTCGTTGCGTTGCTGTGCCAGGATGATGGATTGGAGGCAAGCTCGCCAGGCAAAGATGCTACCGTGCCTGATGAGCCTTGTCGACTTTCCAAAAGTTCCAGAATAAGTAAGATGCCTTAGTTACCTTAGTTTATAATAGTTTATAACAGTTTATAGTATCTCCATCTATCTCCCATTGCTTTTCGATATTACGATTGGATTGTACCTTTCTGCACCGTTGTGGCTTGGAGGGCTAGGATCTGCCTTGACCGCGCAGTTGAGAAGCCGTCCTGGGGGCTGTGGTGCTTCCACCTTGCCAGGGACCTCGGAGCTATGGCAGCTATGGGATCCATATTCCGTATAACAATGAATGGGGAACCATGGAGCTACTTAGAGTTTCCCAAACACAGATTGTAACAGCTTCTCTTCTTTGCCAGCTCGGTGCCGAACCCTATCGCAAGTGCCACATGCAGTGGGCCACGCCTGGACCCGAACACTAGATCGCGAGCTCCCGATGCAGTGGTGCACACCTGGATCCGAACGCGATATCGTGAGCTCCGGATGCAGTGGGCCACGCCTGGACCCGAACATAGAATGTCAGAATCGATGCCAGAAAGACTGCCCGAGAGAATCTCAGAACATGTACCAGATAGAATGCATGAAAGAATGTCAGAAAAAAATATCAGAATAGATGCCAGAAAGACTGCCGGAGAGAATGCCAGAACATGTGCCACATGGAATGCAGAAAAGACTGTTAGAATAGATGCCAGAAAGACTACCAAATAGAATGTCAGAACATGTGCCACATAGAATGCTGGAAAGCATGTCAGAATAGATGCCAGAAAGACTGCCAGATCGAATGTCAGAACATATGCCAGATAGAATGCTAGAGAGAATGTCAGAACGAATGCCAGAAAGACCGTCAGATAGAATGCCAGAACATATGCCAGATAGAATGCCGGAAAGCATGTCAGAATAGATGCCAGAAAGACTGCCAGATCGAATGTCAGAACATATGCCAGATAGAATGCCGGAAAGAATGTCAGAAAGCATGTCAGAATAGATGCCAGAAAGACTGCCAGATCGAATGTCAGAACATATGCCAGATAGAATGCTAGAGAGAATGTCAGAACGAATGCCAGAAAGACCGTCAGATAGAATGTCAGAACATATGCCGGATAGAATGCCAGAAAGAATGTCAGAAAGAATGTCCGATAGAATGAATGCAGGAAAGATGGGCATATACAATGGCCAGGTAGGATGTCAGATAGAGTGCCTGAAAAGATGCCAGAATCACTTCCAGCAAGAATGCCAGAATAGATGCCAGAAAGAATGTCAGATAGAATGCCAGGGCATATACCAGAAAGAATGTCAGATAGAATGTCAAAGTATATATGCCAGAAAAAATGTCAGATAGAATGTCAAAGTATACGCCGGAAAGAATGTCAGATAGATGTCATAATATATTCACTGTATGTGTATATATATATATATATATATATCTGCCGTATATACTTCCAGATGATATGCCAGAAACTATGTCAGAATAGTGTGTCAGGGTGGGGATCAGTCGAAGGAAGGTAATTTTTGCTTGTTGTAGCAATGTGTGGAGGCATGTAGTGGTCAACTAGGTTTTTTAACGTTTGGCATAAGCACAAGCCGGGTAAAGTGGACATGCGACGTTCTACCAGACAGAAGCAAGACGTTTCCACACGCAAAGTGATCATTCAAATCGACGTGAAAAGATGTATACCAACTTATGTGTGTATGTCCTTATTATATTTATGTTGTGGGCAAACTATGTTCCATAGAAATCCGTAGGAATGTGTCATATAGTCATATGTGATTGACCACTGGATTAATGTAGACGTTTTTATATCATGTGGAAAACTCGCTGCCATGAACCAACCAGCCCCAAAATCACTTTTTTTTATTGGTGCTATAAACCATCCCGAAATGGTAGGTGTATTTTTGGGTTTCCTACAATACACCTGTATACATGTATACGAGTATATGTTATACAACCCATCACATACCCATTAAATACAAAGTATATACTCATTAAATACCCTTTGCATACCCATTATATATCCATTATACATGTGCCCATGAAATACCGATTGTATACCCATCATATACCCATTATGTATCCATTGTACATCCATTACATGATATACTAGCCACCTTTGAGTCCGTCACATGTGCGTTTTGGGTCCAGGTCTTGTACTACAGCTGCGTGCTCCTCACTGCTGTGGCTGCTTGGCTGTGCATCAACGGGTTGGAGATACACCCATGGTGCGTAAAAATGGTTTATATGCGCATATAGTTTTATATATGCATGTAGATAAATACATACGCACATATTTACATATATATATATATATGTACATTTACATATTATATATCATGCCTATGTAAAGATGATTATAGATGGAATACTTGCAGATGATTATAAATGATTTTAGTAATTATATTTACATTATACATATGCCCATCATAATCACGGTAATCAGGTAATGTGGTAAACCCAATGGCAAACCTGCAATCTTGCAGGGTTTATACAACCCATTACAACCCAATTATATCCATTTATGGTGAAATTGGAATGATTTTTGTTTGGGTTTATCAAGGTTTAGCACATTAAATCATACCTATCGACGGATTAGTCATAGCACCAAACAACTGTCTACAAGAAAGGGGGGTCAGAATTTAGATGCTCCCACATATGGTGTATGTCTAGGAATGGTTTATGGCATTGGGTTTTCCTCCTGGTGTGAATATCATATTTTTTTCGCGATTGTGACATGGAAACGTCTTCACCCAACATTCTCAACATCTCCTTTATTTCAATCACGTGCGTCTCCTCAAAGCAGGCACTACGGATATGTGAAATCACAAGCCATCCTTGCTTTGGATTGGGTATATATATATATACATATATGTATAATATAATGTTTTAAAATTATATATATATGCATATTCATATCGTGTATATATATATACGCATACAGTATACACTGTAGCAAACCGTAACACCTATACAACCTATACCCTTTTCCACCTTTTTATGTTTCTTGGGGCAACTTGTGGTATCTCCACTTCGGCGCCAGGTGCTATCCATCCGAAGCATCCTGGAAAGGTTGGTGGCTGGGAAGCCTGCCACGCAAAAACTTGAGAGGCGACGTATAACGTGGGTTGGTATTTGAGGTCCTACTTACATGGGCTGTGGAGTTGGTAAACTAGTCAAAAGGTGGGTTTTGATTCAACATAGACTCAGCTATGAAAGAATGTTACAAGGGGTTGTTAACTACTTAGCTAACCTCATGGCCCACCTATATAAATCATGAATGAACTTCAATACTGTAGTAAACGGATCGGTTTACGCGCATTTTTATGTTGAAGAATAGGGATAGTAATCCCTCCGCTAAGCAAGCAGCCAACACGAAAAGGACATCAGTGAGGGTAATGTGGCAAACCCGATGCAATGCAACATCCCAGGAACCAACCATAAAAGGGGGGTCACCATGAACATCATTCCAAATCTCCCATTACTAGGGTCATTAGTAAACACTGCCTGTCTGGAGACTGATCAACTTGTCGCTGGAGGATACTCTGCAGGTCCATTGGTATCTAATTATTTGGTTGTCTAAAGATGCCTGAAAAACATGTTTCTATTTACGGACGTATGATCCCTAAAAGACTAAAAGTACTGGGATTTGGGATGGGTTGAAACCACCAAACAGGAGATTTTCCGCAATTCCATAACCCCACGTATTTGATATTAAGTACCCCAATGAAGGGACCCCAAAATGAATACATCCAATTCATTCAGCCGGCGTTTTCATGGAATAGTTGGTATTAGAATATCATAATGTCATACAAATAATATTGGAAATGCTATCATAAAATGAAAAAAAACCTTTCCAATGATCATAAAACCATATCAGGGGGAAGGGATTAGGTCACCATGTTCTGCCAGGCCAAAAGCCAAGCTCTCCTGGGACATGTTGACTTCGGCAGATGATCCAGCAAAACTGGTTCGCGAGGCGGGTAGCCAATGACCCTCTTTCCATTATGTTAGATTACCAGAGGGCATCTACTGTTGATGAATGTTGGTTTCCAAAACTCTCCGCATATCTCAGGGTCGGGTCGTCCCCACGGCTGCAGGTGCTGCCAATCCCGCCGGACTTTCCCGTGCCGAAGGACCCAAAGGAGGACTTCACCGTGACCTTCGGACCCTGCGCCAACCTCATGATCTACACAGGCCACGAATGCCACGAAGCCATGGGAATCCTTTGTGGGGAAGAAAGTTTGCTGAAAGATACCCATGAAAACAATGGTTGACAATGTTGGTGTGCAATGGTATGTAAGTCGCTATATATTTATTTATACACATGTGTTTTGATATCTTGATGCCTGGCCTGTGTGTGTGCGCATACATCAGCAGGTATATGCAGCACAAACACACTCGTATATATGTATGTATGCATATATTCATGCATAGGCATTTTTAAACCAAATCAGAAAAAAACATAGCAAATTCTGACACACAAATAGAAGGCTCCACCAAGCCTGAGCATAGCAATATGATTTTTAACCCTGAGATATCCAAACTAATGTGGGTAAAACATGGTAAAACAATTGAGTATAAACCATTCCCAATCGGGTGGTTTATGGCATTGTTTCACCCACAGTATGGATTTTATATTTGATGGGAATGTTGTGGCGCCCTTGTCCCAGGAGGCGTCGCCTGCTGCCTACAGCGCTGCCCTAATTTCGCCGATGTCAAGCCAAAGCTACGCCACTCAACAAAGCAAAAATACTGCAGGTTTACGTGATCACGAACACATAACCATACATGTGCATACATACAATTGCATATCATTTTTACATTCAATGGATCCCCCTCCCATGTTCAACGCATGTTCCCTTTGCTAGTTCCATTTCAGGACTTGTGGTTGCAGTTTCTTCGGCTTTGCAATTCGTAGATGGGCTACTTAGCCTCTATTGAACACATATTGAAAAAACATCCGCTGCTGGAAGGCAGTGTTCACTGTGTTTCTTAAAAGTTCCTGTGTTTGTCCAAAGGTGTGAGTGCGAGCGCTGTTCACCCAGGAGTGCCGTTGTAATTTGCATGCATGCAGGCCCCCCAGTTATCATTTTGCAAGCCCATCCAATTGCAATCGACCGCAAAATCCAACCGTTAGCCTATTTATAAACCAACTTAACTATATTGCTTGGGGACCCATTAACAAGGTGGTTAAAAACGGCTAAATATAAAGTAGAACAAGGATAGTAGTATACAATCATTTAACAACATACAACTGGAGAATCGTTCATACTTAGCTTTTAATATTTTACCATTCTCTCAGCACTAAGACTTGACATTTGCACCGCGCTTCCGCCTGGCGGGAGCCTGGCGCTCTATTTAGGCTTTCGCGGAAACTCCAGCGGCGCCTTCATCGCGGCGACCATGGCGGCGGAGATTGAAATCATGCAACTCTTGCCGGTGCCATGGCTGTGGTTGCGGTCCTTGGATGATATTGAAATATATTGAAAACAGAAGGAACAGCCTATTTCATCCCGGACTCACATGGTTTGGGGGGTGATGAAATATCCCAGTGGCTTATTTGCTTTGACATGCTATTTGTATATATATATATATGTAATTTTAATATGGCCACAAACTGATCCATTCTTGGGAGCAATTATCCCAGCAAGAGGCCCCAAACAGTGTGGGAGGGCCTGGAGGATAATGTAGGATAATGTTGAGGATGATGATGATGATGATGATGATGATCACCATCATCATGGTCATGGTCATGGTGATGATGGTGAGGATGAAGATGGTGATGACGATGTTGAGAAAGATGATGTTGAGGATGATGAGGTGCAGGAGGATGACGTTGAGGATGATGTTGAGGATGATGATGTTGAGGATGATGATGTTGAGGATGATGCTGTTGAGGAGGATGGGGATGAGGATGACAATCAACTTGTGCTTACGTGGTGGTTTGGGTTGGTGGTTTGGAAGTCTGGGAATTGATGGTTTTGTGAACTTAGAAAAGACAAAAAAAAAAAAATCAAACCCTGTAAACAATGAAATCGTTGAAAATAAAGAAAACAAATTTAAAACAACAATGATTGCTATCAGATTAGGTTTGTTTGAAAATTGATATTCAATTTGTATCTCGGAAAATATACACTTATTTAATTTCCAATAATTTCACGTGATTGTTTAATTGATTATTGAATTCTAGTGCATTTTTCTGTACTTGTCTATTTATCTTTGAAATGGGGGAAAGACAGTTCTTGAAACCGTGTGGTCCTATCCTGTATTCTGACTGATGCAGGTTTCATGGATTTTCCATGGAGTTTCCATGCAGGTTTCATGTTGGTTATATGCTGGGTTTGCTGATTTAGCTTACTGGTGTGTAACCTCCATGACAATTCCCTGGAACATGCATGGAATCTGCATGGAACCTCCATGGAACCTGCATCAGTCAGAGCGCATGATAAAACCAATAAGTGTAGATAGAGGCACCGCCTCCATAACGCACATGGAAATTGCGTGAAATTCTACATCAATTCTCCATGGAACCTGCATGGAACCTCCATGCCCTATAAGTTCGTCATGACAATGACTTGGCAGTTTTTCATTGCGACCTTTACTGGTGAAGAGTCTCCCATGTTTTGCCGCTAAAAAAACTTACAAAATCCAATGGCGCATTTTTCCTGGAAAGATCAATTAACCCAACTTTTTAGCATGTTAGCTCCATACAAAGGGGGGAGCAACATCAACAAATCAACCAAATGACTTCCAAAAAGATCTCGGAAACTCCGCTGGACCCCTCTCTTACGCTCTCCTAAGGAGATGCTGAGTTGGACGGAGCGCTTTCGCAACCGTTTGTGGGGAATCGTCGGCGCCTGCTCAGCCAGCATAACAGAGATCGTGGGGTTGCCCATGGTGGAAATGGGAGGGATGATCCACATCTGCCAAGGCGTTTCCAACCTGGAGAGTTGTGATTTGAGGCTGAGAATGGCTGAGATTTGAGACGGCTTCCTGATTTTTAGGCGCGCATGTGTGAGAGTGTGTGAGGGCGTGT